CTTCAAAAAAAGGGGTAGTGAAGTGGAGAGAATCCAAGGATTTATTTATAGACCAGTCATTCTGAGGTCAGTTCCTAGGCTGATTCTCTTTGAGAATACATCTAAGCACCTTGAAAAAGATGTAATTGCCATAGGGTAGCATGGATTTGTTAAGAAGTCTTGCCAGACAAAATATATCTCATTTTATGTTTCTAAGTATATTGGACATATTATATTTTAACTTTGATTTGATTTTTTAAATTTTTTTAAAGAGATATCCAATTTATAATTAAGGAAAAATCTCTTGACAGTGAGGACAATTAATGAGTGGAACAGCTTGCCTCCAGAACTCGTGGGTACTCCTTCACTGGATATTTTCAAGAAGAGGTTGGACAACCATTTGTCTGCAATTGTATAGGGCCTCCTGCTTGAGCAGCAGGTTGGACTAGAAGATGCCCAAGGTCCCCAATCCTGTTATTCTATATTCTGTTTGAGAAAATACCCAATGGCATTTTCCTTAGCAAGTGTGGGATGGATGCCCTGATAATTAAATTGATAAATAATCAAATTAAAATCTGCATTAAAATGCTGTTCAATAATGGGTCTTCGTGAAATTGGAGTATTGAATGGGATATGAAAAATCAACCTGGGTCCTGTACTCATCATAACTTTATTAAAGTGAGATTTTTCAGAAAACAGAAAATCTTTAGAGAGTACAGAGGAAGACGTGTTCTCTTCTCCCCAACGCTACTAGCTCACTGCTTACTTTTTCTGCTACATTCATTAAAAGCTTTGACAAGCAATGTTGTTTTCATTGACCACCTAAACTTTTGTGGAAGACTGAATATTGATTCTTCTGACAGTACTCGCTTAATCTTGGGTACTGGAGAAACTGTGAAGCAGAGCAAGTTGAAGCACTCCTCATTTGAAGGTCATGATTGATTATTCATAGGGTAGTGTGCTTACATTTACGAGATATGTTCAAGTAGTGAGTGGAAAGATATGGTTTCTTATGCTATGCAAAGGTTTGGACTTAATGACTAGCTGTCCCCTTCCAGATATAAGATTCAAAACTTGCTGATCTTTTAGTTTAAATGAAAAAAACTACAAGTTGATTCCAAATATCTTATCCAATGCCTTTTACGTTAAGTACTTATCTAATCTTGGTTACTACCCTAAATAGATATGGTTTATGGAACTTTCAAACAAAAATCTTTCAACTTAAAATATGTACATAACTTATATGCAGTCAGTATTCCTTCAAAAGGCTTCCCGGTCCTGAAAAAGAATTCTGCTAAAGCAGTCCAGGTAAAAATGAAGTAACTGTTTAAACTATCCTAATTTTAAATAAGAAGAAGAAGAGAAAAGTGGAAATATTTTTAGGGAGCACATATTCTAGATGTCAATCTTTCAAATAACTCTGGTGTTACATCATAGCTTTATCATCTCCAAGTAAACCCATTAGTTTAAAAATAGTTATTTTATTTTATTATCCTTATATCGGAATATGCTAACCATGAATGGCCATATTAAACAATGCACAATGTTTTCTAATGTCATGGGATTGACATAATGAGCCATTTCATTCAATATATTTGAGTGAATAGACATATCTGAAAGAAACCAATCCAAAATGGGATAGAAGACAAATAGATTTGCTCAAATAGATTTCAGCCTATGATGATAAGGAAAAATGCCAGGTTTTTTTTTTTTACTAGTTTAATAACCTCCAGAGAAGCCCAACCAAACATTTCCTTCCCAAACTTGTAACATATAGCCCATTTCTTCCCAGGAGGCTTTGCGAAAATAAAATGGAAAGAAAAAGACAAAAGCATGAGTAACTGGCTTTGTGAAGCCTCTTGATAAAATCCATCTAATTGAAAAAAAACTGCTCCTGATTTGACTTTAAAGGAATGGTTCAGTTTTGGAGAGAATTCTTCAGGAGGGTGCTTGGGGAAGTACCTCTTGATCTCCATCCTATTACCAACATACAACAATTATCCAAGATTTCACAGAAATTGGATTAGCTCAAATATTGACAGAATACTCTTGAAGTTGAAGGCATTGACAATTTCTCTGTGCTGATTCAACAACTGGATGAGGTTATGTTTACGTGTAGAGCTGCAGCTGGGGGACATGCTATTCTGAAGCCCAGGACTAAGAAGAATGGAGTGCAAATGCTATTTCCTGGGCCCAGAATACAAGTGGGTTGAAGTCATTCATTTGCATGCAGACGTATTTAATGAGGACAGGTTGCTAAACTTTGACAGGTCCAGCTCAAACAAGCCCAGTGGGAGAGATGCTTTTGTTACTGCCGCAATTAGAAATGTGCAAAGTGACAGCCTCCCTCCAAATTTGATCAGCACAGTCAAGTGTTTTCCGCTACCTTCCCATCCCCAAAATAACAGGCATGTTATACTTATTTTTATCCATCTATTTGTACCAATCACATGCGAAAATATCCATGTCTGTACCAATACCTGTTATGTTGTACATGTATGTATGTATGTATGTGTGTATATATTTATTTATTTACCTTTATTTATTTATCAGCCTGGTAAGCCCTAATTATGGGAGGAAGCTAACTGCTTCCATCATCTGTCAATCGGCTTGTCACAAGAGTCCATCACAACAGAAACCCAATATTTTTACTGTTGCCTTTGTTATATTTGTGGGGTTTTTTTTGTGCTGATAAATAAATAAAGGTAAATAAATAAATATATACACACATACATACATACAT